CAAAAAGACTCAGCACAGAGGTTCCTAGGGGACCGTGTCTCAGTGACAGAGCTGTGTGGCCCCTTTCTCATCCCAACTGAGAAGAAAGCCATGGACTGTTTTGAGCAGGTCAGCGTAGACATTCTGCAAGCTTTTCCTCCAGGAAGCGCTCCCAGGCCATGCCCCGGTGTGTGGAGCAAAGGGTGCCCTGCCCTTCTCTCGCATAGCTATGGAGACCCTGCTGAGAACAAGAAAGCCTGAGTTCTCGCAGGATCTGCGACTCCCACGGCATCTGAGAGGTGGGTTGTGCTGGACTGTCCATCTCACAGATGAGGAAACTGAGGCCCGACCATTTAAAAATGCCTCCCAGTGTCACCTAGCAAGCTCTTCAGAGGGCAGGGCTAGGACAGGACTTCTCTCTAGGCACAGTTTACTGTTCCATAAGATGGGGACAACGCTGATCTCTCTCAAGCCTCAGACTTGGGGAGGCCTTGGCAACTTCTTGCTTGGACCATCCGACTCTTCCGCCAGCCCATCATCACAGCCCTTCATCTTTTTCTACTCTAGAATGGAGCCAGACCAATTTAGCTCTAAACTCCTGTCTGCTGGCCCCTGGCTGTGTGACCTCAGGCAGGTGTTTAACTTCTCTGGTCTCTGACATGGTTCATTTCTGGCTTCCAGGGCTGTCCACGGTATTAAATGAGATAGCACGGGGAGGGTTAAGGGCCCTTGGGCAGCATGTGTCCTCTGCAGATATGGCCTTGTCACTCGGGACTAACCAACAATGACCTCCAAATCCAGGTGTTGAAGACATGTGACAGTGTGGACCAAAGAGGCCTAGGTTCTTATCCTGCCTCTGCCTCTGCCTCTGCCTCTGCCCTGCTGACAGCACCAAGCTTGGTCTCTGCACACATAAAAGGCTCTGTTCTCCCCAGAAGGGGTTTTGGAACCAGAGAGGCCAGGGAGGCCAGCGACCGGCTGCAGATGACCAGAATGTAAGAGACAGATGTGGTATTTGGTTTAAGTCTCCATGGTTCCTGAGACCCCAATCCTAGGGGCTCCAGTTCCAGGCTACCCATCCCCAGCACCAAGGTTGCCCCAATACTTCTACCTCTACTTCACCCCAGAGAGCCTGTGCTGTGGATCTGGCTTAGGGCTCTGAGAACTCAAAACAATTAGTAGTTCAGGTGTTCATAGCTAGAAGCAAGGCCTTTTGTTGGCAAGTTAATCCACCTCTCTCTCTGCCCTGCCCTGGCATGCTCACCTGTATACGGAGTCCTGATGTCCTGTGATAGACACTCCAGGTCAGACAGCCGTGGGTTCTCAGAGCCCAGAGCCTGGTGCTCTCTACAGAAAGCAGAAGTGTGGGTCCCTAGAATCTGGAAGGGCCTTCTCTTGGTGTCCCCTCCCAAGGCCCCACAGACTGACCCCCCACTCTCTCACCCTTCTGTCCCCCCATCCTGCTGCCCTCAGGGAGTTTCAGGTCCTGTTTCTGCTCCTGGGGAGGGAATTACTGGAAACAGGGGCTGTGGCCAGCACGGTTTCGTCAACTCAGCACCCCTGTGGATGGGGGTGAGAGGACAGCCTGTCCTCGGGGACTGTCCCCACAGGCTGCTTCCTTGCAGAGCTTTGTGGACACATGGCTTCCATGGGGACTCGTGTTCCTCCATGGATGCTCATCTAAGGCCTGTGCCCCGGCTTCACAGACAGAGACCCTGATCCCTATGGCGGTTCTGCCTTTCCAGCTAAATACTCTCAATACAGGGAAGCCAGAGGGAGCCCCAGTTTCCCCCACTATGTGATGGAGCCATGAGTATATATATTCTGGCTCTCACAGGCCTCCAAGTGGATAAAGAGCAGGGCTGGAGAAGAGACAGAGCAGGCTAGTGCACCCAACCCATGAATTGTGAATGTCACTTCATGTCCTCGGCGTCCCCTTATCTCTTTCTGTGCCTCCCGCTCTCCACCTCTACCCTCTTCTCTGTCTTCAGAAAATAATCTAATAATGAATTTTAAATGTATTCATTACTTATTCATTCCCCTCCTTCCACTCCCAACAGGGGCTCGGAGCCCTTGACAATAATAGCCACAGGCAGGGGACTGTTGCATGGGGATCTAAAGGCGACACCAAGCGAGAGCTGCAGAGGAGCTTGGAGGTCACTGTGACCACCCTGTTCCTCCTTTTACATTCGGGGAAACTGAGGCTCAGAGGCAGGAGTCAACAGGCCTTTTGAGCTATAGCTATAGTTACTGTGAGAGTTACCTGGGGCCTGGGGAGAAAGCCCCAGGTAGGAACAATGAGTCCTTTTCATAACTGAGGTTGGACACTGAGTGTTTCTGTGGTAAATGCCGTCAAACAATCAGTGAGTCTCAGAATCCATCTCTCAGGGCAGGGCCTGAAGCCAGAGAGCCAGGGTCTGGCTGTGCTCCTGTGGCCCTATCTACGGCCAGGTATCACACTGCTCCAGGGTGGATACCCAGTGGGTGCAGGCACTGGGCTCTCCTGGAAGCTTGGAGAGGGATTAGAATTCTGCTAGGGGTATTACCTATGGATGGAAATGAGGCATTAACTACCGGGAGGAGAGGGAAAGAGGAGAATACAATGAAACCAGATCTCTAGGCTCAGCCAGGTTCACAAAAGAAGAGAGCGCTGAGGGCTGCATGTGAGTGGGTCTTACTATGTAGCCTAGGTTAGCCTCAGACTCCTGTTGCCTGTCTCCTGCATACTGGGGTTACAGGTATGCATCATGACACTCAGCCTCAGGTCCTCCTGAGGGTCTCATGGCTGCCGGTGCCTAAGGAAGTGCCAGTAGGAAAAGTTCAGCCTGAACTTGAACCTGGAGAAGCAACAGGGTGAAGAACAGGAAATAGATGCGGTGAAGGATTTGCGACGGCCATCTCAAGTTTGAACTCCAACTCTCCAAAGCCTGTTACCAACTGGAGTTTCCTCAGCTCTGCAGCAGAGATGGGGAAGCCTGCCTACTGGGGCTGTTGGTGAGACAGGAACCTTAAAAGTCCAGGGTCGAAGTGCCCTCAGACACAGTATTATCTGTATTTAGAGGAGCCAAGGTTGGAGCAGGCAGGGTCTATACCTGGGAATCAGGAGCTGAGGGGCCCCTGAGGCTTGGTGCCTAAGTGGGAGGTGGTGTCTCTCCCTCCACTTCCTGATAGAGGGATGGCACCTACATGTGGAAAAAAATGAGAGAAACCCAGTTGCCCAAAGAAGTCCCCTGAAATAAGGGCCTCTTTCTGCATCCTGCCTTGTCCCAGCCCTCAGAACCCACCTGCTCCACATGGCCAGTAGGTTGGCATATTCTAAGGTCTGCTCATCTTGATGTAGCAAGGACAAGGGAACAATTTTGGAGGAGAAGGAGTGGGGGGTGAATGAACCTTGTTGTTCATTTCCCAAGTACAGGCACTGGCTCTGACTCCACGGCTGACATAAGCACAGCATTGATTTTTTTTTTTTTAACCAAAGGAAAACGAGAAGAAAGATTTATCACACGGGGCATCGCTGGGCGAACTGCTAAGTGGTTGATGGAGGGACAGCTGGGGATGCTGTGGCCAGTGACCCAGATGCAGTGAGCCAAACGGGTTTCCTCAGCCCTGGCCTTCTGTTATGTGTGCGTGCGTGCGTGCATGCGTGCGTGCGTGCGTGCGTGCGTGCGTGCGTGCGTGCGTGCGTGTGTGCGTGTGTGTGTGTGTGTGTGTCTGTTCCCTTGCATGTGCACATGCACACATCTTTATTTCCCTCTGTGCCATCTTTTCCATTTCATGAACCTCTACTGTGTGCCAGGTGGGCACCACAGGGTCCAGCATAGAGCTGCTCACGGTCCCGTGGGGAATGCTGAACCATGGATAGGTGACAAGAGCTGTTCTGGGGGCCACGGGACCATGTGCACCAGATTCATCCACAGCCCACCTACTGCTGCCTTCAAACAAAAATCTAATTTCATTTTAAATGTCTTTAGGCTGGTATTATATACTAGCAGGCTTGGGAAACTGAGCTCTAGTCTTGAGTTTGAAGTCCGATGAAAAGCATTGTGGGGACTCGTGGAGGAGTCAGGGCAGGCCTCATGGAGGAGGTGATCTTGGTTGAAGGACATTGCCCGAAGGTGTGTGGATAGCTTCCACAGAGTGAAGGGACAGCCAAGGTGGAGGCATTGATGTGTGATGTGACCCCAGGCAGGATGAAAGGGCCAAACTGGACACAGAACGCTCATTCGCCTGAGTTGAGGATGACTTATTTATTTTTTAATTGGTGCCAAGGATACAGGCTAAGCTGCGTCCTTGTGAGCCTCCCATGACAGGCTGAGATCCCAGCTGACTGGGACTGCTTCTCCCAGACGGGGTGGCCTCCCTCATACCTCTCTGCCCCAGACAGTTACACATTGTGATTTTTTAAGTGGTGTGTGTGTGTGTGTGTGTGTGTGTGTGTGTGTGTGTGTGTGTGTGTTGGGAGGGTATATACACTATGAGTACAGGTGCCTGTGGACTGCCAAAGAGGACATCAGACCCTTTGGAGTCCCAAGCAGTTGTGAGCTGCCTGGCGGGAATGCTGGGAGCCAAACTGAGCCACTTCCTCTAGTCTGACAATTGCACTTTGCATTTTCTGAACTCAGGTACCCCCAGGGGCCGCCCTGGTTCTCTGAAAGCTGCAGTGGTGTTGTCAGTCCCTGATATCAGAAATTTTCTAGACCAAACTTAGCAGCTTAAGGGCAGCCATGTTTTAGAGAGCTTCCTGGGGTTCCTAGAATTTGTGTGGCAGCCGTCAGGTTGTGTTCCTCCCTGCTCTCCATGTATCCATGTTCATCTCAGAGCAGGGGTGGGAATATTAGGCACTGAGAAGAACTTACACACTAGCTACTATGGGTTTCTATGGGCTCATTCATTTGTTCGTTTTTTTAGTTGTTAACCCGCCTACTTCGGCCCAAGTCATCCCTTCACTCAGCACGAACTCACAGAGGCAAAACTGCACAACCCAAGTTCAAGGCCTTCCAGTGAGAAATCCGGGCCACACATATTTAGTGACCTTTTTATTTATGTATCTCCCCACCTGAAAACAAACAAACAGTCTCAAAGTATTGTCGAACTGCCACAGGGAGTTCCTGAAGGAGCTGGGTCAGGACCCAGGCAGACTCGTGGAGGAAGAGGTCAGCAGTGTGGAAGGGTCTGAGTGAGGATGGAGGAAGCCGAGGAAGTGAGGTGGGGGGACGGGGGCTGGAGCCAGCCTGCCACTCTAGTCGGGAAAGAGCAGGAAGCCCGAGAAGACGCTGTCTGAGCCCTCCGTGCCCACCATGCCATTGTAGTCGTTGACTTCCAGCCACACCTCATCGCCCCTCTGCTGCCGCAGCAGAACTCCTCCCGAGGCGACCTGCTTGCTATTGAACAAGTGGTCGCAGAAGCTGGTCACCTTGGCATGGTTGTGGTACAGCTGCACGCACAGGTTGGCCGTCAGTGAGGCGTGGTAGACAAAGTAGTAGAGGCCGGGCACTTTGCAGGTGAACTTCCCTGTGCTGGTGTCATAATCCCCCTGGGGGTTGGTGATGACAGAGTTGAACTTGACCACGCCATTGGCTGCTGGGTGCTGGGAGGTCTGCCGGGTGACGGTGAACACTGACTGGTGCTTCTGCTTGTATCGGCCCTCCTCACCTGGCTCCCCAGGAGGTCCGATGGGGCCTGGATGCCCTGGCAACCCGACGGTCCCCATGGGGCCATTTTTCCCACGATGGCCAGGCAAGCCAGGCTCGCCCTTCTGACCCTTGGGTCCTCGTGTCCCGGGAATGGCTGGGATCCCTGGAAAGAGAGCAGACAGGAAGGGATAGGGGACAGGAAAGGGGACCCCAAGTGGGTTTGGCAGTGACCTCTAGCCTATATTATTTCCCAGATGGCTCTGGCCAGGGGGAAGGGGCAGGCTGTGTGTGTCTGAGGCGGGGGGCTCTCCTTTCGTCCTGCCCTTGATCCATCCCTGTCTCACTTTCCAAATCTGTGGTGGAAGGAGCAGGAGAGGGGCCCGAGTGTCAGTGAAGGACAATGGAACAAGAGCAACTATGTGGCTTTGAGCTAGTTGTTTGATCTCTCTGGACCCCAGTTTCGACATTTGCAAAGTAGAAGCAAATCATGCCTCTAAAGGATTTGGGCCTTGTTTTCCCCATTTGTAAAGCATGGCTGAGACGGTCATCTGCTCTGGGAGATGAAAGTTCACCGTGCTCAGAGAACACCAGAGCTGAGCCTGGTACCAAGGTGATCACAGAAGTGTCCCTGGACAGCCTGTAAATAGGGTACGTACCCTAAAGTGCAGCCCTGGGGGGGCCTCACGGGCTCCCTGAGTAATTCCTTCCAGAGTTGCTCTGTCCTCATGAGTTCTGTTCAGTCCCACCCAGCCTCCCTCATGCCCGCATCCCACTGATCCCCCAGAGAAGCATGTTCACTTGGAGGAGGGATCCCCACCCCTACGCTCCCCTCCTCCCTAAGCCTAGCTGCCTGCTCCTTTCCATGGCCAATCCCTCACACCAGGACACCCATCGGAACATTCTAGGTGACATTCTGGCCACCTGCCCCTTGCTTCTTGATTGACAGAGACCATCAAACCTGCCAGGTGCTTAATTTTGCCACAAATGCAAACTTATTCAAAGCTGTGACACCCTGAGGAGCAGTGACTACAGCGCCTGTGTCACAGATGTGGAAACTGAGGCACTGCATGGTTAAGACTCTTGTGCAAGCTGGCACAGGAGGAGGTGATGGGTGTGGCTTTGACCCTGCAGTTAGTGCACCCAGAATGACCAAAGTGGGTTCCTAAGTGTCCACCTGCATAGTTAACATGCTGTTACCTGTCCTAAGGACAGGGGTTCTCCTTAACTCACTTAAATGAGGACAACAAGCTACAAGGTCACCAGGGTCAGCTGGAGGCTGAAGCCTGTACTCTGAGGACACAGGAACTAGGCCTACCCAAAGAGAGGCCCACAGACTCACCTGGTTCACCCTTCGGCCCCGGGAGTCCATCATGTCCATCCTTCCCAGGAGTCCCCGGCAGGCCTGGTATCCCTGGGATTCCATAGCAGCTGGTGCTAGCCTGGCTCCTGAGCGGCAGAGCCAGCAGAAGCAGCAGCAGGTAGAGTCCATGTTGGGGCTGGCAGCTGGGCCCTACATCCATCCTGAGAAGAGGCTGCGGGGTGGGGTAGGGAGGGGTTGGTACTAAGCTCCCCACTTACCATTTTCCCCTCACTGTCCTGCCCCCCTTCCATAGCCCTTCACCCTGGGGAGCCCACATCTATCCACAGATGAGGGCTGGGTGGATGATGGATGGATGGGAGTAGTCAGGTCTCTTCTAAGGCCCAGGACTGGGCTCAGAAAACAGAGCTAGTCCTTGTCCTATGGTTTAGGAAGGGACTTGGGCATGGGGAGGGGGGGGTTGCATATCACTCCCACCGGGGCAGGGTCCCAATCTCACCTGAGGGTGTAGGGGACTTCAGGCCTAATCAAAGAGATGTCCTGTTCTCCCAGGCAGGAGGACAGAATGGACAAAGAACTGCCCAGGGTAGGCTCTGGTGCCCCTCCCCCCACATCACCCTAACCCCACATCCTCTTTCCAGCAATTTCTCCTGACTTGACACTTTCTTTTAGGTTCTGAGCCAGGCTGACCACAGTGACACCTCTGCCCACCCCTTCCTTCCCTGGCCGTAGGTCATGTGTGATGAAATGGGGAAGTATCTGCTGTCCCCTCATCCTGGGAACATGGGGGTGCATGCGTGCCTGTGTGTGTGTGTGTGTGTGTGTGTGCGCGTGCGTGTGCGTGTGCAGGTGTGTGTGTGTTGCATATGTACGTGCATAGGCCTGAGCCCAGGGCACAGGGGCAGGATGGCCATTGAATTTGTAGCCCCTCTATGGCATTCACCATTCCCGAGTCTCCTTGTCCTTCCATCTCCCTGAGGGGAAGTTATCGTCCCTCTTCCAGAAGAGGAGACTGAGGCCTGCCCTAAGTCACACACTGGATGGTTGTCAGGGTGACCCCTGTGCTCATCAGCTCCCCCAAAACAAGCCTTGCATGCAGCTGTCAAATGGTGGGTTTGTTCTAGAAACATCTATACACCCATTCCATTGTCAGGCTTGGGGAAGGACGCCAGGGTGAGCTTGATTGCCTCAGTGCATCGGCTGGTCTGGCTAGAGAGACGGGGCCTCAGCTTTTCCTTGCTGGTGACTCCTTGTTCAGCAGACCCATTGCGGCTCTGCAGGCCCATTTCCCCACTGGGTGTGGGGAGCCAGGGCACGACTAGCACTAGCTGTCTTTTTGCTGAGCCCCTTCCACCTTGGTGTGGTTCCTCAGCCCCATCATCCTGGCCCCCACCTTGGCTCTGGTCCTAGGACTCATGGTGAGACTTCTAGGATAAAAGGAAGTTTGGGGCAGCAGAGCATCCCAGTCTTGCCCCTTTTATCTCCTGGGCTTGAGTAGGGTCCTGTGTAGGGCACCATGCATGTGCTACACCCTGACCCACACTAGCAGTTCAGGCTGCCCAGCTAAGTGGCTCTAGGGGTCTTGCTTTTCTAGTCATTCTGAAGATTCCTCCCCGTATAGCCCAGGATATGCCATGAGGCCAGTGTGAGAACCCACTGGCATCCCAAGGCTGGGAGAGCAGACATAGTGTGTTCTGCTTTGTGGGCACGGCCATAATGGAATCTACTCTCTTCTGTCTTGGTTGCCTCTTGCCATGTCTATTTCATCCAGCAGGTGGCAGTCTCGGTCTGTGCTCAGCCCTCTCTGCCCCGCCCACCTTTCTGCCTGTCTCAGCTTACAGGTTCAGAGGAACTGAGATTTGCAGGTGAAGGATTGAAGACAGGCTGGAACGCAGGTTCAGGAGGGGTTCAACACTCTCCTCTACTGGTTCAGACATTGCCCCTCCTTTCAGGACCCCACAAAGTGAAGGGAGCCCTCCACTTTGGGGCCAGACAACCTGGTTTAGATCCTCCATCTTCCAGCAGGGTGGTTTGACTCCTGCTTCCTTTCATGGGGCCCCAGTGCCCACAACTGTTTGCATTCCGTGCCTATGGAAGCCAGCACATGGGGTCCCCAAAGCCAATGTCTTTCCCAGCCTGTGGAGGTGTACATTTAGGGGTCAGGGAGAGCTAGGGACAGAGTGGACGGAGAAAAAGTCAAGGAGCTTTGAGGGTTGTGTGGTTGCCTGGAGCTGAGGGGGCCCACTCTCCCTAGAGTGTCCCACTTCTTTCCAACCTCAGAGGCTCCTAGCTGCAGGGAAGGGACATGGTTTGCATGTCGAAAGGGACATGCAGGATGTGTCGGGATAGCTCTGAGACCAGGTGCACCAGCCAGTGAACAGGAGGGATCATCCCTGACTCTGAAGTGTGAGCACACGGGGTAGGGGTTAGTGTGGGAGGAAACACAGGCTTTCTTATTGCTGTGTGCAGGAGTGTGTGTGCGTGCATGTGCATATGTGTATTTGGAGAAATAACATGTGTGCACGTGCACATACGTGCACAAGCGCGCATGTGTGCTTGGAGAAGTAACTAGTGTGTACCTCTAAGGTATACCTAGTGTGCTAGGAAGAAGTCCTTGGGTTCATGTTTTGGTGAGGAATGGGTGAGTCTCAGCCCAGGAATATGGGACATTGTAAGTCTTGAGGGTAGTGTGTGATTGCTGTGAAACTGTGTGTGTGAGGCTCCGTGTGTGATTGTGTATGAGACTGTGATTGTGGGAATACTCTTGAACATGCAGCATCCTCATCTGCACCCTCCCCACACCCTCCAGGCTGCAAAGCTGTCAGGATAGTCTTCTTGGAAACCCCCCAGGAAACCCAGCTCTGGGAAAGACTGCTGGGTGTCCTTGAGCCCCTTGTTTGCCCTCTCTGAGCTGGGCTGCAGAAGCACTGGTGGGATTGGTCCAGCATAGCTGGAAAGACTGGGAGGGGGTTGGTCAGCCAGCCTGACTTCAGCCCCAGCTCTTCCCCTGAGGTGATGACCTGGGGCTTGGTGGCCCCTGCTCCAGCCTCAGTGCCGTCATCTTGGACATATGGTAAGAATACCCACCTTGGCACTTAGCTGGCAAGACGGAACAAAACAGAACAGTGATAGGCCCTGCCTGCAGTTTTCACACACTGGTCCACAGCAGCCCCACCCCCACCCCGCATCAGAGCTTCCATTACCAGCACCATTTAGCAGATTTGGAAACTGAGGCCACTCCGTGTGATCTGGCAGCTAGCAGGGGGTGACATCTAGATTGGAGCCAGGCTGACGTCCCCTTGCCCCCTTGCCACCTGCCCACATTTGTGTACAGTACCAACACTGTAGTCTCTCAGGCAGTCAGCAGTGGCCGATTTTTGTGCCCCCTTCCTGCCCAGTGCCCAGAACAACGACTTCTCCCCAAGCCACAGATACAGATGGGGTCATTTATTCCAGAAAATGTTTGAAGAAACCCCTGGGCTGTGTGCAGAGAAGCACCGGTCCTCAGGGTCCTCCAAGCCAGCCCTGCCCCCGGGGTAGATGAATTCCGGGCTCCAACTCCTTCCCTGAGCAGAGAGAAGGGGTCCAGGGCAGGGTCCCATAACAGGGAGTGGAGGAGATGGCGGAATGTGGGGTGGCTCCCCAGCTCAGGCTGAGGGGAAAATGAGAAACCCACTGAAGATGCTGTCGACTTCAGGACCTTGGTAAATGCGACCCTTTGGAGGGTCCTTCTTGATCCACACTTGGTCCCCTCGCTGCAGCTGGAGCACAGTGCCCCCTGATATCACCTGGAAGAGCCCCCTGCTGTTGGTCTCACAGAAACCCATGGTACTCCTGTCTTGGCCCCGGGAGGAGTACATGATAGACAGACAGAGATCCCACTTGGAGGCCACTTGGAAGGTGAAGTAATAGAAACCGGGCACCGCACAGATGAAGCGGCCCGTGTTGTTCTGGTATGGGCCCTCCTCGTTGGTGATGACCTTGTCGAAGATAACTACATTGTTGTTTGTCTGTGGGTTCTTCTGAATGGCTGAGAAAGCTGGCCGGGGCTGGTCCCTGATATTGCCTGGGTTGCCTTTGACACCCTTCAGTCCTGCAGGGCCGCTGCTCCCCGGGGGTCCAGCGGGCCCTGGGAACCCCATGTTGCCTGGTTTGCCAGGGAGTCCATACTCCCCCTGGTCTCCTTTAAGGCCTCGGATGCCAGTTCGGATGCCAGGAGCTCCTGTGTGGAAAGAACAGATTGGTGGATGGGGGCATCATGGGTATGGAGTCCAGAGCTGCCAGTCCTCACAGAAAAAGCCTTTGCTTTAAAGAGACCAAGTCGGACTGGTCTGACTGGCTATGTGGTGTTGGGCAAGCATCCCAACCTCTCTGCGCCTCTGTTTCATCGGCAAAAAGAGAGTGAAACAAAAGCAGTTATGTGACAGACCCCGAATTCTAGGAAATGTGGGGTTCTCTGGCTGCTCAGCTGAGTTCTGCCCATGGCTGTCACTTCACATGTCTCCAGGTCTCCAACTCCTTTCTCAGATTTGGGACCTCAGGCGGGGACATGATGTGTGTGTGTGTGTGTGTGTGTGTGTGTGTGTGTGTGTGTGTGTGTGTATGAGTGCGTGTATGTATGTCAAATTGTGTCAGAGTTGTCCTTTCAGTCTGCTGGAGACCCAAGAGGCTACAGAAGACAGGGGACTTTCCTTTCTGCTCTGGGCTCTGGTCATAACCCCCTCCCTTCCAGTCCCCTCAGGGTGACATGTTCTGACAAGGTAGCATGGACAGGGGAGCAGGGATAGAGTAGGGGGCTGGAAGGAAATGCAAAGGGAGTTGTTATTGGCTGATTTTTCTTACATGGCTTTTGGTTTCTTTTTTTGTTTATTTGCTTGTTTGAGACAGAGTTTCTCTGTGTAGCCCTGGCTGTCCTGAAACTCACTTTGTAGACCAGACTGACTTTGAACTCACAGAGATTCATCTGCTTCTGCCTCCTGAGTGCTGGGATTAAAAGTGTGCACTACCACCCAGCTTAATTTTTTTGTTTGCTTGCTTTGGGTTTTTTTTTTTTTTTTTGCGTTTGTTTTTATCTCTTTTACATGCCAGGCAGGGCTCACTGCTATAGGTTGACTTTTCCCTACACCCCAGGCAGGGCTCTGCCTCCATTTTACAGAGAAGGTCTGTAACTTGTTTGAAGTCAACTAACAAGGCAATGGCTCCTGACTCTAGATTCTTGGGCTCTGTTATTTAGACTTTGGCATCCATCCTCCACGTAGCCTATTCTGCAGAGGAGGAAATGGGAGGGCCATGGAGGAGCTAGAAGGGTCACAGGGAGGCCTGGGGTCAGGGACAAGGTCCCAGAGAGAAGGCCGGGCCCTCGGTTCCGGGGAGAACTGCTCACTGTGATGGCTTCCTGGAACCCAGACACGACAGTGCTGCTCAGTACCACCCCTAGGCCGTTGCTTTGAGGACGGCAGGATCGGGGGCCCAGGAGAGAACGCTTACCTGGTTCCCCTCTCTCTCCTTTGAGACCCGGCCTCCCTGGGCGGCCAGGGTTTCCTGCAACCCCATCCTTCCCATTGGGTGCTCGGCAGACATCCTGGGTCACTGTGGATACCAGGGTCATGGCCAGCACACAGGCTATCAGCCATCCCCGAGAGGCCTCCATGACGTCCCTGTAGAGACAACGGGAATCCTGGGCAGGCAGGACAACCAGAATCACACATCTGTCCCACAGTGAATCCCACAGGCAAGGTTCTGGGACCCTGTCTGGAGCCTTCGTGTCCTCCCATGATTTACACATGTCCTCAGCACCTGTGATCAGTCATAGGTTCCTAACCCTAGCCTTAACAATGACCTTGACCCTAGCCCCTAGCCCTAACCATAACCCCAACCTTAGCTCTGACCTTAAACCTAACACCTAATCCTAATCCAAGTCCATAGGTGCTAGCTCTAACTTTAATCCTGACCTTGACTCTAACTTTAACCTTAATCCTACTTCCTAGCTCTAGCCCGGATCCTGACCCTGGTCCCGACCCTGATCTTAACCTTAGTCTTGATCCAGACCTTGACCCCTGCACCTGCTCAGAACATGATCCGATACCGACATAGACCTCCCCGCTCTGGGGACACGTAGGCTCACATACTCCCACACATGATGGATCTCATTGAACAAATATTTACCAACCGTCAGCACTGTTTTAATTACAATCTCCGGCCCAGATGGCAAGCTATGCACGCTCATAAGCTTTTACAGACATCTGCCGGCTCCCCGGCAGCCTCAGCCCCCTTTCTACATCCATACACGAACTGACTGTCCCTGCAAACCCCTCTGCTGGTCCAGCTGCTGGACCCTGGCTCCCTCACCCGCCTCTTGCCTTTCTGTGGTTTTTGATGAAAGAGAGACAGGACCCATTAACTCTGTTAGAACCGTGGGTCTGGGTTCTCTCACCTCACCTTCCCCCAAACTTTGGCCAGAGGCTAGGATCCCTCCACCCATCAGCTCTGGGTCTTAAATCAGTAACCCCCCCACCCCTATACATCCTTCTATGGAACCAGCTAATGGCAATATTCTTCCCTCCCTGCCTCAGTTATCCAGACTGCTCCAGCTACCTTGTTATCCCAGCCCCCTCCCCCTACGGCTTGGCCTCACCTGCCTCCGTGGCCGGCTCAAACTGGATGTTCTGGCGCTTTGCTGGTGGTGGGACACCCAACAGCAGAGGGGCGTCACCAGGGTGCCGCCGAGTTTCACATCCTTTCCCACTTCCCCTTCTTGGAATCTGCCCCCTGAACTTCCCCAGGGCCAGACATCAGGCATGGAAATTTTAAGCAGACCTCAGCAAGACTGGGACACGGGACATCCTATCCCAGCCACAGTTATGAGGAGGGGACTCTGGAGGAGAGCAGCATGGGGCTTCGGGATCCAGAGAAGCAAAGAACACCAGGACGGAAGGAATCTGACTTCGAATCAGTAACTCGGGGGGGGCCTTTTTTCTTGATTAGGGAAGACACAAGAGTTCATGGCCAAGTGCTTGTAAAATTCAAAGCAGAAGGAACAAAGAGGCTGCTGGGAGCAGAGAGGACAGACCACGGAGAGGTGGAGGCGTGTAGCACTTGGTTTCAATCTCAACACTTCCTAGCAGCTGGTCTTCAGGAAGTTGCCACACCTCTTCACTCTCGGTTTCTCTTTCTTCCATTCTCTCTGTCTCTCTCCCTCCCTTCCCTCCCTCCTTCCTTCCTTTCTTTCTTCCCTTTGTTTCCTTTGAACAGGGTTTCTCTGTGTAGCCCTGGCTGTTTTGGAACTCACTCTGTAGACCAGGCTGGCCTTGAATTCAGAGATCCACCTGCCTCTGCCTCCCAAGTGCTGGGATTAAAGGTGTGTGCCACCACGGTTGGATTACAAGTGTGCTCGCATTGTGCTTGGTTTATTCAGAGCTGGGCGTCAAACCCAGGGCTTCATGAATACTAGGCAAGTATTCTACCAACTGAGCTATATCCAAGTCCTTTAGTTAGTTAGTTAGTTAGTTAGTTTTGGTTTTTCGAGACAGGGTTTTTCTGTAGCTTTGGAGTCATTCTTGGAACTAGCTCTTGTAGACCAGGCTGGCCTCAAACTCAGAGATTCACTTGCCTCTGCTTCCCGAGTGCTGGGATTAAAGGCATGCGCCACCGCCGCCCAGCTATCCAAGTCCTTTAAATCAACATTTAAAACAGAAACAACAGAGCCACGAGGCTGGCATGTGCTTCAGCTTGGAGACTTGCCTGACATGTGTAAGGTCCCAAGTTTCATCCCAGCATGTTTTTTTTTAAAGACATATTTGTATATGCAATATTTGCATCATATTTGCAGGGTTTTTTGTTGTTGTTGAATATACCAGGAAAGATTAGGAACTCAAGGCCACCTTGGTGAGTTTGAAGCTAGCCTGGACTCCATGAGGCCATATATAAAGCAACAACAGAAACCAAAACAAGGGCCAGAGAGAAATCTCAGCAGGTAAAGGCACTTACCATCCAGGTTGGTGACCTGAATTGTCTTCTGACCTCCGCATGCGTGCTGTGGTACACAAGCACTCCTACACACACATAAATAAATAAGCAAGCAAATGTAACAGAAGTTTCTTAGAACATGTCAGCTTTTGTGGCCTAGGAAGGATGAGACCAGCAGAACTCCACAGGCTCAATGAAGGCACCCCAAATTCACGTTTGTATCTACAGAGAAAAGAGAAGGAAGGAAGGCATTCCATCAAAATAACAAGAGTTCTGGAAAGTTTGTATGATTGTTGTGTTAGAAGCAAAACAGATTAAAGTTCTTTTGGAATCAAGCCTGATGATTAGAGCTCAATTCCTGGGAGCCACAGGGTGGAAGATGAGAACTCACTTTAGAAAGTTGACCCTTGACCTCCACGGGGACTCTGCATGTAAGAACAAAATATATAACTAAATGTAATGCAATTTTTTTAAAAAAGTATAGTTCTGTGGGACAATAAAGCCTAGAGGAAAACCATCGTTTACATCTCTGCGAGGTTAAAATAATCCTGAGTTGTTAATTTTCTCCCCGTTCACAGCTGTCTTATAGAGCAAACAGTGCATTATGCAAAGTGACATTTCCATGAAGTGGCAGGCGACCCTTGGCACTACTTAGACACAACTCGAACTTGGCTTTGAACAGACGTGGTTATCTGCCTGCCTTGTTCCCACACGCTGGGTGAGTTTCCTCATCAGGCTGTGCGCACGCCCCTGCATTCACATTCACACACTTAGCACTAGCCTGGGGAGTGAGTGGGTCAGGGCTGGGGAGATGGCTCAGTGGGGAAGGTGCTTGCCTTGCAAGTGCAAGGACCTGAGTTCAATCCCATGCCTGTTTATAATCCCACTGCTGGGGAGGTGGAGGCAGGTGGGCCTAGTCAGTGAATTCCAGGCCAGCGAGAGACTGTCTAAAAATAGAGACCACCAAGGCAGGCAGAGCCCAAAGAAAGACACTTGTGGTTCTCAGGTTGTCCTCTGGCCTCCACATGCCGTGCACACACACACACACACACACACACACACACACACACACACACACACGGGTCAGCAACAACTGCAACAATATTGCACAGGGAACATCTTCAGGCACATACATTGTGAGTGGGCACTTTCTTGTCCACAGAGCTCAGATTCATGGAGGGGAGGCAGTAGACTGAGACAGGAGCATACTCATGAAGTCATGGTTCATGCTTTCAGTTCATGCATAGTGGAGTCAGGGGCCTAAAAAGTAACAACGCGTGTGTGTGCATGCGTGTATGCGTGTGTACATGTGCATGTGTGTGCATGTGCATGTGTGTGCGCATGCGTGTGCATGTGCATCTGTGCATGTGTGTATGCGTGTGTGCATGTGTATGCGTGTGTGCATGTGTGTGTGCTTGCGCGCACATGTGTGTGCATGTGTGTGCGTGCGTGTGCACGTGTCTGTTGTCTACTGGGGATTGAACCAGGGCCTCACACACACGGGGGACACTCTCATCACTGTGTCACATCCCCAGCTCTCCTTTTACATTTTATTTTGAGACCGAGTCTCTCTAAATTGCCTAAGTCGAGTTTGAATTCATTCTGCAGCCCAGAACTGGCCTTGAACTCACAATCTTCCTGTCTCAGCTTTCCTACTTAGCTGGAATTATAGACCTGCACCACTAGACCCAAGATTCTTTCTGGTGGAGTTATCTCCACCAAGGCTAAGCTCTCAGATCGGCACCTCAGGCGAGGCCTGTCTTGTGACAGTGTGTCTGTTGGCAGGACACTGCTTTTGCTGAGCATGTGTAAGCCTGGTTCTAATCCCTGGCACTGAAAGAAAAATGCTACTGGAGGAAATATCCAGAGAAAATGCCACTTGGGAGGACATATTAGCATTCTGTCATGGTCCTCTGCTGTCCCTCTGGGCTTTGGTGTTAGGACAGATTTTCCCTTCAGTGAGCAGTTGACTAATGCTAACCAATGCTCTCTCTCCAAAAGGAACTGTATCTTTGAAGCCAGGATACAGCGAGGACACAGCGAGAGGAGCTGAGGTAGATCTGGGGACGGAAAGTCTCCCCTACCCTGCTCATCTCAGAAGCTAGCGCAACACCCCTGCTTTATTTCAAGTCACCACTTCTAACTCTTCTTTTGAATCATAGTAGGCAAAGTATAGTGTTTTTTATATATATATATATTTTTAATTTTCATTTAGAAATATTGAACAGGCATGGTGGTACAGACCTGTAATCCCAACACCTGGGAGGCCTAACTGGGCTACATAGTGAGGTACTATGTTCAAAAAAGTAATAATTACAACAGAAGGAGGTGTAAGGTATAATTTATAGAGTGAGATGATGCCCATTGTTTGATTTCCGTATATTGGATACCTATCTGCCCATTGCCACCTGGCCAGACTTGGAACATTCCCACTGTACCCACAAGTGTCCTGGAGCTCCTTTCAGGCCACAAGCCTTCCCTTTTCGGAAGCAGAGTGGCCGACCCACTTCCTATCACCAGTATTCCAACCTCAGGTACAGAATCCACCATCTACCTCATTGTCCCTCCTGGCATCTGAGTGGGCACGAATGTCAGTTCTGTCTACAGTTGTCTGGCATCCCTCACTCTCGCCCACCACGCCGGCTCCCCTGTTCTGTCAGTGGGTGGTTTGGAACGAGGATGGATGACATTGCGAGGTTCTCACCCCGCCCTGTGAACCCCTCTTGTGCTGTTTCCACCACCCAGGGGCAGATTGGCCTTGGAGTCTCTCCCCTAGCTCTCCCTGCAGCATCCGTGTCCGAAGCCCTGCACCTTGGTGGAGACACCTTGCCTTTGCTCACCCTTCCCTCCTCACCCAGACAGTATCCCAGCCCTTCTTCCTTGCTCCTTTGGGTCAATGCCTCCCCTCCTCCTTGGGTCTCCCCTTCCAGTCTTACCCTCAGCACCCAACAGATGCTTGTGAAGGCTGGAGTTGGGACGGACTGGCAGTGGCTACTGAGTTCGTCTCTGCACACTCTTTGCTTCTCTTTGAACAGGCGGTGTGGAAGGCAGCTGGCCTGAGATCCAGGATCAGTGTCACGTTGGTTCTACCAGGGACTTCACCCATAAAACTGAGGGGGTGCTGGACCTCATCTGGTGAGCATTGAGGTTTTCCATCCTCTAGGGGTTACTTGGTGACATCCGAAGTCATTTCTTCCCTTGTCCTCCCTCACCTGCCACTCAGAGGGCCTCTTTCATAGTGGACCGCTGAAAGTCTGGGTAAGAAAATGGAAAGCTGGGCATGGTGGTCACACCTTTAATCCCAGCATTTAGGAAGCAGACGCAGGTGGACCTCTGTGCGATCAAGACCAGTCAAGTCTATATAGTGAGTTCCAGAGCAGCCAGCGCTGTGTAGAGAGAGCCTGTCTCAAAAAAACAAATAAACAACAACAAAAACCCAAACAAACTATGAGAAAAAGAAAAAGGACATTATTGCTGTTTGGAGAAGATTAAAGCCCCCACCCCCTTCCTTGCCCCAGTTAGAGGGGGGCACCCTGAATGGTGAAAAGGCAAATCCAGGACGTGCCAGGGGAACCTCTTGGAGAAATCCCAGCTAGAAGTCGCCCAGCTGGGATCCAGGCAGGTGAGTTGTAAAGAGATCAGGAGGGATTAGGAAAAAGGGCTTAGAGAAAAGCCAGGCAGCTGGGGGAGCCAGCTGGGAGGTGTCCCTGCACCTTGGCCACCGTGTAATTGGGCTGCTCGGAGCTTGTCTGTCCTGCCAGCGGCTCCCTGTGGGTCTTTGTTCAACAGTCTCCCTGACCTCAGGTCTAATCAACCGGCTCCTTTCCCAAGAGCCGGGGACGTGCCCAGGGTGACTGGGCATGCTGGGCCAAGGCTGGGTTCTGACACAGCCCTTACCCTGCTCTCTCTGAAATTTGGGCTAATGACAGTTGCTTCTGCTGGTGTCCTCCCCCTCTTCCCAGCCCTCTGCTGATTGCAAATAAACACCCGGTCGACGCGGGAGAGTAATTAACTCTCCGATGTGGGGAGAAGTAATCAGCCCAGAGTGTGCTGCAGGTGGGGAGAGTGAAGGCTTTTCCTAAGGAGTATGCAAATGAGCCGTAGTATGCAAAGGAGCCCCGGCTGCTCCTGGGAAGGGCTGTCATAGCCCGGAGCCTGGCTGGTGCAGGGGTATAAGCTCCCGGAGAGGGCAATGGCTGGGGGGTGAAATAACTCATCTCTCAGATCTGGGGTTTGGGGAAGGGGGTCAGAGTAGGAAGAACAGGTTTCCCCTTCAGGGTCCCAAGTTCACTTGTTTGCTGCTGTGTGAGGCACCTGAGGAGGCAGAAGAGAACCAGGTTCCTGAATTTGCCTCTCCTCCACTCTCCCTGTGACCTTGAGTGTAGGTCTGCCTTCTTGAGTCTTAGTTTTCTCGGTTCATAGGGGGATGCTAACACATGTGGATTGGGTTGTGCTGAGAGCCCAGGAGAGACAGTCTGACACTTAACAGGTGTTCAAGACACGGGAGCTTACAGGCAGCGTGGAGATACATCAAGGACCGCATATTGCCAAGACAAGGCAGGGTCCCACCCAGGACCGCCTTCTAGGGTGCTCTGGGCTGGTGATTTGGAAGTCTCCTCTGCAGGGTCAAGCCTGGAAGGCACACCTGAGCTACTCTATAGAGGGAGGTTCTAAGGGCACACACCCAAGGAGGCACCAACTCTCTGTTGACTCAAGTGCAGTTACCCCTGGCAGTGAATAAGTGTTTCTTTAAAGTCCTCTGCCCTTTCCTCTGCTGAAAACGGAGCTAGCTACGGGGGAGTTAGAGGTGACTTGGAGTTTGCTGACTAGCCTAGTTTTTGGAATTCCACCCTTGTTGAGTCTTCCAGGGGCACGTGTGGGAGAGGGGTAGGCATTTCTTTCGTCTTGGATCTCCTTTAATGTCCTGCCCTGTCCTATGTGTCTGGAGGTGCAGTAGGTCATGGGTGGGGCACAGGGACAGAGCAGAAGTTCTATATGTTTATAAATCTAACTGTCATAAAGTTGGGGCAGGAGATGGATCTCCGTTGGTAGAGTGTTTGCCTACGGTACACATGTAGCTTTGGGTTTCATTCCCAGCACCGCTGGGCATGGTGGCACACACCTGTTATCTCAGTACTCAGCCGGTGAAGGCAGGAGGATCAGAGGCTCAAAGGCTATCCTTGGCTATAATAGGGTTTGAGGCCGTCCTGGAATACATGAGACCATGTCAAAAAAGCAGGCAAGTCTTTCCATGTAGATCCCAAGCTCTGTGATAATGGTGCCCAGTGCAGAATCCAGCTTCTGTCTGCATGCTCCCTGTGATGGGGAGCTCACTGTCTATGGAGGTTATGGTGCATTTGGCTGTGGAGCTAGGGTTGCAACTTAGGTGAACTTGAGTCCAGAGTCCAAGGCCTTGACTCCCATCCATAAGATAGAAGTGAGAAGGGCCATGTGAAGTGTTGTCAAATGTGGGGTGCAGACCTCCAGCTGCCCTGCCCTGTCTTGTGTGTTTCTGGAGGTGGAGCAGGTTTGCATGTCCTGGATCATCCCTGGTGCTGTGAGTTGGCGCAGGGACAGAAGTGACATCGAAGGTGCAAACTTTCCAGCATGCTTTTGCTCTGAGACGTCCTTGCGGGTCCCAGGTAGAGCCCCAGCGTCCTGGGGACCTGGATCACTGTGTGTGCCCTGATGAGTCACTAGAACCCAGATGAGCTTTGCAGGTATGAAGAGGAAATCGCCATGGCTGAGCCACGGAGGCACTGCTCTTGGTCACTGTGACTCAGTTTACCCTGACTGATAAGGCACAGACAGGATGGTGTCCTCATGGTCTTGACCATAGCTCTCTTTGTTACTTTTCAGGACTGTGAGTGGCCACATTCTCATGGAACCTGCAGGGGGCACCATCCCTCCCTGGTCCCTGTTGAGCTGTCCAGGGTCCTGATGTGATTTAGCCTATTCCCCTGCCGCCTAGGCATCTGTAACCTAGACATTCTTAAATAAAAGGTGACTTCTACCTCTACTGGGCTTAGACTCTCCTGGGATAGGCAGACACAGAAATGGAATCAGAAGACTGTGGTCACTAGAGACGGAAGTAACTGGTGTAGGTAAGAGCGGCTTCACCCCAGGTAGGCTCTTGGGAGCTTGTTCAGAGAAGAGGGCAGAGGTGGCAGCAGGGACCCCCTTCTCAGTATCATAGGTTCAGACTTTTGGTGCTCTGCTTCTCTCTGTGTAACCATGACACGGGCATCTTCTCTCCTAAAGCAGCAAAAAATGACAGCACATCCCCATAGCATCACCGTGAGAGTTCAGTGGGCTAATGTGTGCAGAGAGGCCAGGTGACCTGGCTTACACCTATAATCCTAAAAGGCTGAAGCAGGCAGACTGCCATGAGATTGAGGAGATTGAGGGTAGCCTGGGTTACAAAGCGGATTCCGGGCTAGCCTGGGCTACAGAGTAAGACCCTGCTTTAAAAACAGCTACCCGGAGGGTAGATTCTGGGGAGAGGGTGAGCGTGAGCTGGATTCTCAGTGACCACATCCCAGTGGGAGACTTTGTCCCAAAAAGCAGTGTATGGGCTGGAGAGAAGACTACGCAGTTAATAGCACTTGCTCTGAAATCAGGAGGGCCTGAGTTTGGATTTTGGCACCCACATAACAAGTTGGGCATCCACAAATGCTTGCAACCCCAGCTCTGAGGAGTCAGTGCTTTCTTCCAGCTTTGGTATGCATGCAGAGACCCGTGCATCTCTCTCTCTCTCTCTCTCTCTCTCTCTCTCTCTCTCCCACACACACACACAGAAATAAAAGGAAATCTTAAGAAAAATAATAAGCAGGCAGTTCCTGAAGAATGGTATCTGAGGTTGATCGCCAACCCCTACAAGTATGCACACATGTGCATACACACACTTGCACACACACCTGCACATATGTATATTCACACACCTGCACACACACACACAGAGTTCAGAGTGGATACTTTATTTTATTTATTTATTTACTTATCTGAGACAGGCTCATTCTGTTATGTAGCTTTGGCTGTTCTAGAACTTCTGTGTAGACCAGGCTGGCCTCGAACTCACAGAGGTTCACCTGTCTTTGCTTTCTGAGTGCTGGGACTTATGGTGTGTGCCAGCACACCTGGTTGGGGTGCTCAATGGAATGGTAGGTGCTTAGTTCACGCTTGTTGTCGTGGCCTCGTTTGGTCCTTGCAGCATCCCGCAGAAGGGAGGTGACTAGTGTTCCCTCCATTTCACAGATGAGAACCCGCGGCTGCAGGGGCAGTCACCTGCTCAGTCACGTGACCTGGAGCCAGCTGAGCTTGACCCGAAGGCTGCACTACCCCACCGCCCAGGTCCAAGGAGTCACTTATGATCAATAGGCTGGATGCCACCCTGTTCCCCCAAGATTCCACATCTTTGATGTCCCCAACCCCAGCCTGACCTGTGAGAGTCACTACTTCTTTTTGTATTGCAGCAAAATACATATGACGTGGCTACTGATTACCCTAATTTCAGGCATACAGTTCGGTGACATTATGAAGGTCTTCCGCGGGGCAGGAGAGGTGGTTCAGTGGTTAAGAGCACTGACTGTTCTTCCAGAGGACCCAACTTTAATTCCTAGCACCCACATGGCAGCTCACAACTGTCTATAACCCCAGTTCCAGGGTTTACAACACTCTCATACAGATATACATGCAGGCAAAACACCAATGTATATAAATAAAAATTTTATAAAAAGTTTCACAGCCAGGCACGAGGAGCACACTGGAATTCCAGCACTGGGGCACTGAGGCAGGAGGATCGCAAATTGGAGGTTAAGCTAGATGTATATATTATTAACCCTTCAGTCACTGGGGGACATTTGGACTGCGTTCCCCTTTGGGCTACTGTGACATACAGGGGCAATATGTCCCTATTTTCATGAGACCCTATGACTGTCGCCTCCTTGGTTCAGGCCTGCAGAGCACAGATCAGAACTGGTCTGGTTGTGTGTCCCCCAACCCGTGTGCCTCTTGCTGGTCCTCAGCTCCATGCCTCTGATTTCCCAGGCCCCACTCTCCATGCAGGTCCCCACAGTTCCTGCAGTCCAAAGCCACCTGCTCTTGGGGAGCATTTCCTGCCCACTGGAGGCCCACCTGCCTCTGGAGCTCCTGATGCTTTGTCTTCCACTCACTTGGGTCTCTGATTACCTTAAACCTCAGGATGACTATGATCTCTGTCTTCTTCCACCCCTTCCACAAGGAGTTCCTTAAGATGTGGCTCAGGTTAGCATATCTTAAAGAGAGGTGGGATACCAGCTCTCTCTCCAGGGCAAACCCAGTTTGTCACTGACCACTCCCACTAGTGCAATATCTTAGAGGTGACCCTGCTCCCTAATCCACCCGGACACAGCCCTGAGTGAGTGGACACCTTATGGGCTTCAGTATTCCCGTCACAGGAAGCCCTGGCCATTTTGCCATGTCTCTAGCTTCAGATTCAGTAGGCTTCGTGACTCTCTCTCTCCCATCTCCCCTCTCTTGTGTATGTGTGTGCATGTGCGTGTGTGTGCGTGTACATGTGTGTTTGTGTATGTGTGTGTGTGTGTGTTTATGTGTGTGTGTACAACAGCATGCATGTGGGGGTCAGAGGACACCCTTGAGTGTCTGGCCTCACCGACAACCTTGCTGTGGACAGGAAACTTCACCTTCTGCCTTGCTGGGAACGGGATATCTTGTCCTCTGCTGCCTACTCCAGGTAAGCTGGCCCATGGACTTCTGGTGAGTCTTCCATTCCCTCTTCCCATTCCTCCATGAGATCACTGAGATTCCAGACACAGACTGCAGCATCTGGATTACAGACCCAGGTCTTCAAGCAAGAACTTATACACCAAGCCGTCATCCAGCCAAGGAACGTGTTAATCTAGATGTTCACAGTGTCAGGCTCCAAAAGTGACTTAACTCACCAAGACCTCATCGTGTGCCAAGATGCTCAGGGAAGGGAACTTAGACTTCAGTGCGTACGGCTGTGTGGCCCTGAGCAGGCAGCTGTGCTTCTCTGAGCCTTGGCTTCCACATCTGTAACATGAAAAGGATCAACTTTTCTCTCCATGGGCTCTAAACAAAGGCAGGTGGTAAGATCCCAGCAGACCGCGCACACCGAGGCTCCAACAATTGATAGACATCCTGTGTCCACGTGACGATCCCCAGCAGAACGTCTGGCTGCTTTCTCCAGAACCCTTTTGCTGCTCAGTGGGTGTGGACACAGCTAGGCATTCATGAAGTCTCCAGTCTCTGGGAGGTCCCCTCCTGCTCACATTTAGCCTGCCCCCCCTCCTTATTTTGTAGTGCTGGTTCTGAGGCTGCAACCACCCTCCAGCTTCCCCGCTAAGTCCCAGAGCTGGATGTGGGCTGGGCAAGATCTTCCTTAGCAATGAGGGGCTCGTGACCTCCTGCTTCTGTGGGGGGACACACCTGGGGTGTTACGGCAGAGAGGGCCCCTTTGCATCTCAGCAGCTGGGGTGAACAGGTTACAGCAGTGATGAGAGTTTAATACATTGAAAGGCACGGTTCTCGCTCTATACCGTAATTAGCCGCGGTGGCCGTGCTCCCCTAATTGTCTCTCTCACTCCAGACGGGAGGAGATCAATAGGAAGCGGCTGCTGTGCGCTGAAAGTCACAATTAATTAATTGTCGGGCATGTGTGTGTCTCCATCTCTGTCACATCAAAGGGCCCGGGCGGCAGCTGCCCACATCTCAGCGGTGTGGGGCCAGCCCATCCCCCAGGCTCCAGGTGCTCACGACTACATGCCAGGGGCTTGCTGTCCCCTCCCACAACAGCAGGCTCCAGAGGTCCTCCTCTGACAGCCAGCGTCACCCGCCACCCCTATCCTAGGCCGGCTCTACCTTGCCGGTCTCCCCCTCCTCCATCTAACCCAGACACCCCCTGCAGCTCCTGCAGCTTGGTGGGCTTTTCCAGCTGTTGGTGAAGTATTGACTGGGAGAGGAATGCGAGGAATGCCGGGAATTTGGGATGTGGGTGGTGGGCTCTCGGTGTGGGACTGTGTGAAACGCTGTCTCTCCGAACCTTTGAGATGAGTAAAAACTGTTGAACACACACATGTGCGCTCAAGGCAGACACACGTGCACACGCCGGCGCCTTCCCTTCATCGCATGGCCAGTGAGTGCCAAGTTCACCCACCTTGCTTACACAGGTGTCTCACTGTTACTTTGGAGGTCCAGGACGCCGTCCCTGCCACACAGATGGGAAAATAGAGGCACATGGGGGTTGGGCTTGGCCCACTGAGGGAGGAGGCTGGAGAGTGGGAAGCATAAACTCGGTGACCCACCCTTCTTCCCCTTAACTCGGCTATAAGAGGGGGAATGGCATTTCCCAGCAGAGGCTAGGAGAGAGCAGCTCTCCTCTGAGGCTACTGAGCAGAGAGAGAACTCAGTGCATCAGAATACAGGTGGTCTGGTTCCATCTTGCAGAGGAAGGAAGGGAAAGAAGCAGGCAGAGAGGAGAGGGAGAGGTGAGGGAGAGAGATCGGTGAAGCCAGAATCCCGCCCAGCCAAATTCAAGCACAGACTAGGTGTCCATAAAGACACAGGCATGTGAGTACACACACACACACACACACGTATATGTACACAACTTGTCATACACATACAAGTGTATACATACATACATACGTGCATACATACTCTAACACACACTTGGCAGCAGCACCCACCCCATCTTTCTTGGGGTCTTCTGTAGCCACCGTAGGGTCAGATGTCCAGCTTTTTCATCCAAAGGGTAGAAGACCGTCTGTTCTCGGGTGTGTTGTGCTCACCCATTGGCTAACACACCTAGGGGCTCAGTGAGGTTCCTGGGCCATATTGTGTCCCACTGCAGTAGAGAGGGCCACTTGGACTCCTGGCACCCAGCCGCGTCCAGGGTTTTCTGCCTTGCAGGAGCCTCTTGGCTACGGAAAGGGCGTGTTCTGCTCACCCTGGCTTCTTCTGCGAGTCCCCCTCACCTCATAGTGGGCACACTAAGCCCCC